CATGCAACCTGTAAAGGCTGAATTAAAAAGTAACCATCTGCACAGTGTATTTGCACTTTGCACCTCCATACACGAATATAAGCTTCCTCCTGGGAGAAGCAGTATGTCACAGTCGGGAGAGCAGCGCTTTTAACAGGGTTGACAGGGGCCAGTGTGATTGGTGTTAAACAGTGCCTAACAAGGATGCAGTGCAATGATACTACTCTAGATTGTAGCTGTTTTTAGAATATAAATGCATCACAGTGTCATGACATGAAGCATGTTAATATAGCTGTAATAGAGAATGTTGGTGTACAACACAATGACAAGTGGTGGCTATATTTACATCAACAGCAATAGTACTACTAGTTACATAAGTTAAGGACTTATTCTCATTACATCACAAAAATGTATCTCACTGTACCAACACTTCTATTGTCATGTTGCTACTGTGGTACACCCTTGTGGCTATCGTTGTGACATTTTAGATGTGTTAAGGGCAAATATGTCTTTCAATAATTCTGAGTTGCTCGGGTTAGGAAACTGGATAATGCTTTGTACACAGCAATATCCTATAAAGAGTACTGTCAACATAAATGGTGACTTTATGAAGGGTGCTGCAGAGACAGGCAATGTTAGAGAAAACAGGAAGGATGGAGGAGAGATAGAGAGATTAAGGGCAAATAAAAACAGGAGCAGCAGAAGGAGAGAAAGATAGTCAAGATAAAAGAGGTAGAGAGCAAGTAAAGTTATGTGAAGCAAGATAATGAGAAAAGGAAAAGAAAAGGAATGGATATGGGAGAAGGAGGGAGATAAAAGTAGGAAGATGAAAGTAGGGAGAAAATGTTAGCATTACAGAGAGAATTTATTCTTCCTCTGTTACTGTAACTGTACTGTACGACTGAAGACACCACAGCTAAATCACAATCTGGTACGAGGACAAGGACTTTCAAACTGTAAATGAATGTTGTTTTTTTACAGAGAGAGAGAGAGACAGAGAAATGGGTGGATAGATCTAGCCATCTTTGGGTGGATGGACAGACAGATAGATAGATGGATAGATAAAGAGGGAGGGAGCAACAGACAAAGAAACAAAAACAGATCGAAAGGATAAGTTGCTGTATTATTGAGCAATTTCATAAAACCACTACCAAATTCTCTTTTAACTCGCAGCCAAGAAGAAATTCAATAGTACTTATCTCAACAAGTGAAGTCTGTTACACGACTTTAATGTCTATCTCTCCAGGGGGGGAATTCAAAGCAGATTCTAATAAATCATGATGTATGAATGTGTGTGTACAAGGCACAAGATTATGAAAAATAGATATGTGAATGACTGTGATTAAATTCTAACGTCATCTCAACATCTCACAGCCAAGCCTCGTAGAGATAATGTCAGTACTAACATAATAACCCACATATGGTGTCATTGCCTGAAGCATGTTTTTATGCTCTAACTGAAAAGTAAAAATGTGTCGTTGGCTGTTCTCACCACAGCCGCAGCGGAGGATAAATAACAGTTCAAATCAAGTAGATTTTATTTTACAGAAAATGGATTTAACACATAGTTAACTTCTAGGATATTTGTTCATTTTTTTATTTTTAAATCTCTGGGACATAAATGAACAGAGGACAGCTGTTGGTGGTAAAAGTATTTAAGGACTTGGATTGGAAATGGATTTAGTTTAATTATACTGAACATATAATGAGCCTATATATTTTTGGACTTTATATAGTGATCTACTCACTGTCAAGTCAATTTTATTTGTATTATAGCTGCTCGATTATAGCAACAATCATACTCACGATTATTTTGGTTAATACTGAGATAACAATTATTTCACACGATTACTCATTGACTTCGGAAACATTGTCAGACGTCGTTGTGACATGACGGGCTCCTTTAAACCAAAGTGTTACCAAACAGATACCTTTTTGTTGTTAACCAAAGGCTCTTAGGGAGGGCAAAAAGTGCACCTCTGTAAAGGAAAGAGGTGCACTGGACAGAAAAAAAAAGAGAGCATCTTTGCAAAACAAAATGCAGGACAATAACATTTTTATCTTGAATATCTTGTTTTCATAATTGTTGAAAACCAAAATCAAAATTAAAACTAAAATTTGATTAATCACCCAGCCCTAATTTATCTAGTCCAAAAATCACAAATTTGGCTCAAAGGACCTTACGATCTCTACAACATGACACCTTCTATCTTTAAATCCTAAAGACAAGGAAAAACATACTCTCTTTAACTTACCACTTGTTTCTCAAAATGTTTTGGGTAACTTTTTCCATGTGCTGTTAATTCCACGAGAAACACTGTTGTGGGCCTGTCACTCAATGTGATCCTGAGCTATACAAATAAACTTCGTTTGACTTCAGAATACCAACAGGCAGTCCTTAAACCTTTCCAAGGCCTTCATTCTCAGAACATTTCAAATGTTTGGAGATTTACTTGAGAGCCAACGGATACTGTATGTCAGTGTGATGAGGCAGAAAGGGCTAAGGGTGCGGGAGAAGTAAAGAAGAAGGCGGTTGCGTTGACAGGGTGATGGGATAGCAGCCAGTTCAGCATCTCTGTGTATGCATATGTATCAGCGCTGAGCCAAGATGGATGGCTTAAACTGCAGATATTATTACAGCTAATGATTCACCTCAAGTGGCCATTACTCGGCTACGATTTGTCTCTCTTTCTTGGGGTTTCGGGAGCTGAAAAGTGGAGTGAAGTGAGACAGAGGGAATGTGTGTGTGTGTGTGTGTGTGTGTGTGTGTGTGTGAGGATGTGTACAGTAATGTATGTGCATGTGCAGGAGAGAAAGAATGTGAGAGCATGGGAAAAGACTGAATATCCATTTAATATCCATTCACGTCTGCCACTATCTGACCTGGTGGTGAAAACTGGTGAAAGTCTTCTGGTTTTGATAGCAATAATGTCATAGTGAGAGTGTTGCAGCAGTCGTTAAAGAGAAGGTCGATATCTATTCACCCACTCGAGAAAGAAAAAAATAGCTGCATTTGTATTGCATGTGAGATAAAATGAGGCTTTAGAATCGAGATTTATCCCCAATTATTGGGAAAAGAGTGGCTGTGAGGTAGCTCTTCTGGTACTTCAGTGAAGGTTGAGTAGTATTGCTATTGTGGTGGCAATTTGTTTAATAAAGCATACAAAGTATGATCTTGTCTTTCTGTAAGGTTTTATTCAAGTCATCCATGAATGGTCTCAACGCAACCGTCACACACTCTCGTATGTGAATGTCCGAAAAGCCCAGAAGAAAAGAAGCAGTTTAGTTTTATTCCTGTCGGAGCATCCCACTAACACAGTTACACATTCCTGACAACTGGGCAGTCACCGACGGTATTCCCGTTAATTCCCATGGAAAGTTTCCAACTTTGAAAATTCCCAGAATTTTGCCTCCCTAATTACAATAAATATGATATGCCTCTTGAACAGAGTCATATGTGAATATACAATAACCAAGTCAAAGAGTAACATAGGTTCTTAAAAATTGCCATTACACTATCTTATCTGAAAATAGCTGGGTTTAATTAACAAATAAAAACGCACAAAAATGGCATGCACGGTTATAGGCTCATCAGCTTATAGACAGGGAGAGAGAACCACTAAACAGAACTGTTACCATTGGACACATACTGCTTTGCCACCCATTCTGAAGGAAAGTAACTAAACTAAAACACTTTTTATTTTAGAGCAATAGTTCACCTATCAGTGGTGAGCAAGGATCATTAAATATGAATTAGACTCGACAGCTGACTGAATTTGGTACCTGAGGAAAAAACCTTGTGACATGAAAAAAAAACCTCTTCTGGCTCAAAGTTATTTCAACTTTATTATTCAGTTTGTAGATGATGGAAGTAGTTTTTGTGACAACTGCAGTAAAATAACGTAAGTACAGAACAAGAGGAGAGCCCATAGCCATAATAATTCAGCTCAGCTATACAGAGCGCTTTAAGGAGTTGGAGACCAAAGACGAGCTAAAAGGAGAATGAATATTGGACTTCATCACGTGACCAGAAGCACAACTTCAAACGAATGCTAATGTTGATCCATGTCTGCTGGATGAGGCACTGAGCACAGTATCTGCTACATAATGTAGCTGCAGAATACATGGTATGCTCTGATGCCTGTATACATACATTTATCATATTTTGATCAAATTCATAAATAAATGCTTCCTTGAAGATACTTTGAAAGTAGGATTGGATTTTTTAATAATTCAAAGCTCAGATGCCTGCATGCTGAAAGAGTTATTGGTTGCTGTAATCAGTTGGCCAAATGGTGCGGCTATTTTCTAGAATTATGGTTGTTGCCCGGACAAAATACCCGCAATAAACCTACCTACGTAGGTACCATGACTACCAGGATGAAGATGGCCACTTGATTTGGCTAATGCAGACTGCTGAAGCCTCATTTTGGCTTCAGCTGAACTTTGGTATGCACTTCTGCATGAAACAAGGATGAAAGTTGATGTTGTACCCCATTTCCATCAGGACAGTCATTCTACAAAAGGTGGAGCAGCCCACAACCTTAACCGAACATATGAAATATGAATAGTGTCTTTAGTGTGTAGGATTTGGAGGCATCTAGTGGTGCATTTGCCGATTGCAACTCACTCGCTTCACCCTCCCCTTACAAGCGCGAAGGAGAAACTACGGTGAGCGCCAGTGTTTGGTTTGTCCATTCTGCGCTACTGTACAACGGTACATACGGACTCAATGGAAGGAGACCTGTGGTGTCTGTAGATATAAACAGATCCTTCTAAGGTAACAAAACATAATGACTCCTACTTTCAGGTGATTATACACTAATGAAAACGTACCTGTTAATATTATATTCCATTTCAGCCAATAGAGCCTTCTAAATGTTACATCTGACATTTAAGATAGACTTGAAATGATTCTTTAATTAGCTAACAAAAGCCCAAAGCTCACATTAAGGGACCACAAATACTTAATGCATTAACCATATTAAGCCATAAAAAAGCATGTTCGTTCTGTGTGTTACCTGGTTGCAGGGAGGGTGCTGACTCTGGTGAAGAAAACAGACGGCTCCACATCAACATGGACCCCCAAAGACAGGTCCCTGTAGTAGCCCTCCACCTTTCCTGCTCCTCCCGAGTACTTGAAGTTCAGCACTGCTTCCAAAGTCTGCAAAAGGACAAGGGAATGATTTAAATCAAGATCAAGCTGTTTTGACAGTGAACTACATTCAAGGGCTGATTCAGCATTAAAAAAAAGAAAAACTGTGATCCACAACCAGTGATTCAAAGGAACATCTGTATGGAAGACTGAGTGTGATTGGGGTCAGAGGTCACAGCCAGCATGTTGTGTCCTGCCATTCCATCAGCAAAACTGAAGTCATTACGGTGAAATACTAAATGCACCACGGAACAGCTATTGTGCTGTTTAATGAAATGGAGGTACAATGGTGAGAATGCCCGAGGGCTGGGGACGGTATGATTGGTGGCTCCAAACAGATGATTCAGAATTGACGTGTCTCATCCTAAAACAGTATGAGAGGGGAGGGCGGGTGGAGTGGGCGGGTAAGTTGGCCGTGTTCCACAGTGATGGGAGGAAAGTGGACACACAGAATTACTCAGAGGTATTCTGTGGAGGGGGAGGCACAGGACAAGCAGCCAAGTGGGCGAAGGATGGGGAAATTAAAAGTGGCAGTTTATGGAGAGGGAGCACTAGCTGACTCAGGCATCGGGCTAAAGCGGGGTAAAAGGAGCATCCAAGGTCCCGCTTTTCTTCCTATGCAGCCTATATCATCTCTCCACATACTGCTGATGGAGGCACTGGAGGTGCCTCGCCAGAACAAATTTAACTGATTCCTTGATTATTTTCTCTCTTTATACCCTCTTGTGGGGGTGCAGAGCGCCAAGTGGAATGATTCGGAGCCTGCTGGCTAGACGTCTGGCCTATTACAACCTAATGACAGAAGCACAGCACACTGAGAAAAGAGAGATGAAAACATTAGAGAAGATTATTATTATTCGAGACCAAGCACCTTGATTCCAAAGTTCCACTTATATCAAAAGCATGAGCTTTAACAACCTATGTTTATATTCATGTGGTCATACATATAATCTTATTATTTTTCCTTGTCCATGTATATTTTAATGTTGTTATTTTAAGCCAAGCTAGCAGCATGGGTCTATGGATGCTAAAGTGGGTCAGTCCACTTTGGTCCAGACTGAAATACGGCATCTCAACAACTATTGGATAGATTGCCATGAAATTTGGTACAGACATTCAGGGTTTATTTGTACAAGATATATAGCCTAAAATATGTAATTATTGCCTGTCACGATATCGACTTATGGTTTAAGAATGTCCCCAACATTTTAGTCAACATGATGCCAGAATAAACATATAAACACTAACACTATATTGCCTTTTAAGGAATGAATGACAAATCTTTGATATTTATTTAAATGCAATTTCTGTCTACAGAGCCAGGGAGTCCATTTTATTTACTGTTTTAGTTGTGTATCCCATTGAAAATCCAATGTCTGAATATTCTTAAGAATTAAAACTTCATTGCTCTTTGAAAGGGTGTACTTGCATTTTATATATTATATATCTTATAATATGTTGGCATAAAATGGTCTTGAAATGACTATAATATAATTTATTGGAATCATTTCTAGGACAATGGATCGTCCAATTTCGTCCACTACTTGTTTCACACCAACTACCTGCAAAACTAAGTGCAGATGACATTCCCATCACCCTCAAGCTGTATGTTGGGTTTAGTGCTAATTAGCAAATGTTAGCAGGCTTAGGATGGTCAACATAGTAAACACATACCTGCTAAACACCAGAATGTTAGCATGCTAAAGCCGCATTGTGCCTGAGTGCTCAGAGAGCCACTAGAATGACTGTAGACTCCAGGTCTTGTTACTGTTCTCAATAAATTTCCTTCATGAACATTAATCTTAGCGTAATGCACTGTAGCTTATTATATAGTTTGGTAGAGGTACTACAGGACACTAATGAAATGTATTCTACGACAGACAGCGCTTACAGTAAGTCATCTAATGCTATAAAGAAACTGGCCTCATTAGCATGCTTATTTTCATGATGGAGTGTTTCATAAAGCTTAAATTAAAATCCTGATATCCTCTCTGAATACCATTTTCCCAACTATTTGTCTTCCCTGGAAGGTAAACAGTGGAGCCAGTCTGCTTTGGATGTGGAGGAAGAGCAGCAGCCCTACAATGCAGGCAAGAGACAGACTCACGCTGTGCTGGCAACAGAATGAAAGGAACAGCTCGTTGATATGAATCTCATTTGAATTGATCGACTGAAATTGCTCAGATTCTTGGAGCAAAGACTGGTTGAAGGCCATTTCCATTAAAGCCTATGTTTTCTCTATAACAATGTCTTTGTCACTAGTTGTTTTCCTCCTGTTTGTTAAAGGATAAGACTGGTGCTGTTATAATCAACAAATCCCATGAAAAGACAAAAAACAACAATCAGTTTATCCTTGTATCAATATAGTCTGTGTTGCCAAAGCCTGATATTGCCAGATAAATCCAATGTTACTAACAGTACTGAAAACACATGAAAGAGCTACGATTCAGTGGGTGACATACTGCTTCATAACAACATATTAAATAACATATTTCTATTAATAGGGAGGATTTCTAATACTTGGAGCATAAATATGCAAACTCATTTTTCTTCTGAGCAGTCGAGTGCTGTGCTACATGCAGCTGTGTGATCCTGTGGCAGCCTGTGTGGCACTAATGGCCTCAACATGATCCTCTTGAGGAACAGTGATTGTCTCAGCGACACTAGCAAACAGCGGCTGTGCACTGCACCCCGATTCCCTTTTTCATACTGAGGCCAACCCAGAGCTCCTCCTCCGTTCAATCCTCTCTCTGTGCTCTCGGCCCCCTCAGGACCCTGTTTCAATCACACTGGGCTAAAAATAGGCCCTGCTTTAATGAGCTGACAGCCTTAGGAGTAGGCCAGCAGCAACATGCAGCCTAAGCAAACAGCCTGACCGCACGCATGGATTACCTTTACATGCATACAAACAGCGTGATTAGTGAAGAATGCCCAGATTAGGGCGATACCAGACTGGATGAGCTGTTTTTGTGTTCAAGTTAATGTCTTATTGCATGCAGCCAACAAGCAAACAGGAAACAGACAATAGAAAATGGAAAGACATGGCATTGGAGTCATTTTGATGGATGATGTATAACTTGTAACATTTGTCAATATGACAGTTTTGTGATAAGTCTAAATGCTACTGTTTAGCACTTTACGGCACTTTAACACTAGCACATGTAGAGCACAGTCATAAAGTTAGCAGCTGACTCAGTAATGTCCGCTACGCAGCAATATTTAGGAATGCATCGATACCATTATTTTTCAGACTAAATACAAGTACAAGCACAGTAGTTTACAATACCATTACAGTTCTATTACAGTGCTATTAGTGAAACCAATCACATGTTGCTAATGTTGTTGTAAAAGTTGCTTTAAAAAATCTCCAAATTGCTGACATTGCTTGTGTGTTTTACTTCTTATGGATTTAACTTAAGTATTATTTCTTCCCTTAAAGGTTACATAGTTTGCTTTAAAGGTCCAGTATGTAACATTTAGAAGGATCTACTGGCAGACATAGAATATAGTATTCATAAGTATGTTTTCAATAGTGTATAATCACCTGAAAGTAATAAGCGTTGTGTTTCTGTTACCTTAGAATGAGCTACAGAGAGAGTGGGTCCTCTTCTACAGAGCCTGCCATGTTTAACCGCCATGTTTAACCGCCATGTTTTTACAGTAACCGAGAACGGACAAACCAAATACTGGCTCTTTTTTGCACCCACCGTAGTTGCTCCTACAAGTTTGGAAGGCGAGTGTTATTCAGTTGGTTGCAATTTGCAACTTCACTGCTAGATGCCACTAAATCCTACACACTGGTCCATAAGTTCAATTTTCCAACTATATCTATTAAAGACAACAATTGAATGAACAGATAGGATATATGCTAAGCGCAGAATGAAAGTTTGATAATGACACAGCTCTGTAAGCCTCTGTAAGGCTGAAGGCCTCAGAGAATCTCAGCAGTTGGCCCGGTGCACAGAGGTGTGAAAGTCTTTCTTAAGCCCTTACTTGTTACTATGGTACACAAAAACACTTTGATTGATTGGGCTTACAGACAAGAACTCATTTTATTTATATAGCCCCCAATTTGTTTCAGAGGGGTTAATAATCTGTACAAAATGAAGCCCCTCTATCCTCAAACTCTTGAAGGACAGTATTCTCAAAGACAGGCTCACCCTGACACACTCAGAGAATAAGAAGGCCCCTGTGATTACCTGCTTTGCATTAAAAGCAAAGATTTTCATTTTACATACTACATAAGGGTAATTTCTGCTGATCATCAGCACAAATCCTCAGTAATGGGCAATAGTTTACATAGAAGTGGGTCTGGATATGGTTTGGCAGTCCATAATATTGGCGTCTCCTTTGTTGTAAGCCAGTTATAAATTGTTCATTCTGCACCAACCCTCTTTTCACCAAGTGACCTATCAGTAGCTAGAGGATCATCTACACAGGTCACTAGAGAGGGGACAATCCTTTAACGCCGCTTGACCTTCACTCATTACGGGTCAAGAGCTTGATGTAAAAGGGATATAAAAAGAAGAATTCCTTGCTCATTCAGTGTGCCAAAATAAGCCTTCACTTGCTCAAGCATTAGACCTAAACATGTCTTGTCTTTGCAGGAAGGATGAACACTGTCTGCAAGCTATGATGCCATCATCCTCTTTGAATATTCAGCAATCATTTGTATACACTCTGAATATGTTTGCGCTTATGCTGTTTCTTTCACATTTGTTCTAATCTTATAACCACAATGCTGATCCTGTCACTGGCTGGTGTCTTCACCGGCCTTTGTTTTATCCTTTAAAAATACTGACGTAATCTGAGTTCAGCCGTTAAGCATCGCAGACATGACATGGATACCAGACTCACTATTAGACAGGCTTTTACCTTGAATGCCATCACTCCTTTTTTTTTTTTTTTTTGCTGTGTCACAACAAAGCCTCAGAAGACTATCCATCATCCATCCTTACAAACGCTGCATTTGTTTGACAATAGAGGTGAATCCTGAACGTCACACACAG